AAGAATAATTTGCTTATTACGATATCCGTGAGCAGAAGATGAGTCACATCAACCAGAGGCTAACAAAATCTTCCAATTCACCTGCTAAAAATGACCATACCAGATAAAAGGCGCTGCGAAACATGAAAAACCAGCTAGTTCTTACTTCTTTTTCTGAGGTCCACCAGTAACAGCTTTTTTCTTCGGTTTGGGAGCACCTCCAAACAAGTTTGCCATCATTTCACTCATGTCTGGCATATCCAACTAAAAAAGTCACGATCCGTATGAATTAAATCAGTAGTTCGTAAGTAAAATCAAAATTGAAAAGGACCTAACATATACTCAAAAGAGTTAGAGAAAATTGAGAACGACGTAGCAACAAGACAATGCCAAAATTAAATCACCTTGGGCATCTGCATTTCGGCCATTTCCTTTTGTAACTGAGGATCGTTGGCAGTCATCCTTAAATAGCCAAAATTGCAAAATCTCTTACTATATTTAATCAAACTACAGTCTGTATTATCATTTAACATCAAATCGCTTCATTGAATCCTTTTCTTAGTAGGTCACATCTAAAATTGCAGCTTCTGGCTAAAACTAGCGAAATTAGCTGCGCTTTTTGCTGTAAAATTGAGCAGCAACCCATCTAAAAATCTTGTTATTGTATTTGGCTCAAAGGTTGTTGTATAACTGCTCCGCAGAACCTTACAAACGCCGGAAGACTTCCCAGGCTTTTGCGTTATCTCGTCCAAAAAATATGTGCCAAAAATATCCTTGAATTAGAAAAATTTTGCTTTGTCTAGAAATTCACGTATTCTGTCACCACTGAAACAAAAAACCCCAAATTTGTGGCTCCCAATAATCAATAGCCAGTTTAGCAAATGCACACCCGATGCCGCAGCATAGTCAGCATAATCCGACATAAACGGCAAGTTAAACAGACGACGCGCGTGGTAAAAACACCAGAACATACTGTGAGGAAGAAACAAAAACCATCTAATACAAATATAATAAGAGTCTGGGTGTGAGGATATACGTTAAATAGCAACTTTTTCCTATCCACATCTTTACGGAATGCATTTGAATCCAAGCTCAAAAACACATAACACTGTTGTGCAACCCCCTCTCTTTTCTTCTTCGCAAAAGCCCACGATTTTGCCTCAAGCATCAAAATTCGAAGGAGTTGAAGTATAGGCCAATCCAAGTAAGTTAAATAAACATAAAGCAAGAATTTCTTACTTTGGTATAATTAACATGATGACCAATGGTACGACAAGCATCAACACCATGGGATTCATCAGCATATCAGTGATTCGCCATTCTTCTCGCTTTCGGAAATACCGTGTTGCTTCTCTAGCGCTTAGTTTGAGAGGATACGGTAGCTGATTCACAACATTTGGCTGGAAAATGAGTAAGTAAATTTCACGTGAAACGTGAATGAGAATGTAATGCATTACCTGAAGGACACTAAGCTTTCTAGCTCGAATCTTCCCTTTGGCAGTGATGTCAACACGTATAGGTTCAAAGACAAAATCGACATTTTCCACCTTAACAATCTCTTATGACTACTGCCACAGACTTCAATTACATAGAACAATTGTTAGATACCTGCACAACATAGCTGCCACTGGCAACGTTATCCACAGTAAAAGAACCATCTTCTCGTACAAATCCGATATATTCTCCGTGATTAAGAAGAATTCGTGTATTGGCAGCCCATTTGCGGCCGGAATGTGCAGAAGAAGGGAAAATGACCTTCAACACACATTTGCCCCACATGTACTTTCCACAAATTAAATTTTTGAATGAGATTTTTGATGAGAAAAACATTGCAACTAGTGCATTGAATTCATAGCAGACTCATTTACATAGATTTTCAATTACACCAAAACATCTCAATAAGTTATTTGATTTAGACCCCCAAAATTCGCAAAAGTAGAGCAATAATTAGAAAAAACGAACAAAAAGTAAGAAAAAACTCACATTCCCTTCCACACTAAAGGTACTCCTTTCTGTAGTAGCTACTTCTTCAGATGCTATTGAAAGGGCCGAAAGGCCCAAAAGAACCAGCAACCTCATGCTTAAGAAAGCAAAAGTAGATTAATAAACATACAGAAAATAAAAACGTGGATAACTGAGATAATGGTAGGTTAAACCAGACAACCTGCAGTGCAGACATCTTTAAATAAATTTATTATTATATTACCAGATCTAACACAGGAAACTGAGAGAACAACATCAATAAATTAGCATAATCTATGAATCGTGGATGTGTAGGTCTGAAGCAGAAATTCAAATAAAGCATAGAATTTTGACTCGGTAAAAAAGACAAAGAACACGACTCTGCTATGAGGAAATCCAGTGTATCAAGCGTTAAGAATATACCTGAAAGTTTCCAGAATAGCGCTAACTGATCTGAAGTGAGAAACGGGGCAGCAAGGCAGTAAAATATAAACTTATATCAAAACATACCAGCCTATTGCTACGATTAATGGGCACAAATGCATAAATCGCATATGGAGCATGTCAGGCTAATCACAAGTTTTCTTCAATATAGTCGATATGCTAAGCAAATGTAAAAGACACTAATTTTCGATTTGAGCTCAGATACAATAATTTTCATGCTAGAGAACATCCAAATCAAACAACACGCTGGAAAGTAGTAATGAGAGTAGTGGTGATGGTTGATTGCTTAATGTATACGAACTAATTGAAGCGCTTCAAAAATTCCTCTGCTGAAACACGAGCTCGAGCGTTCAGTGCTAGCTTCATGTCGCTGATCTCCTGAAGAGAGATGAAACATGCAAAGAAACATCCCAAAATGGGAAGGAAAGAGAGGGGAAAAGAATTTTGGAAATAAACACCTAATTTTATTTATACTAAATAAAGTGATCATAGCAACGTTTCACTTTTTGATGAGAAAATGGTCACCAAAAGGGCATGAAACATGAGACCATGGATAATGTCTTAATTCAACTACAAAAACTTTGATGTTAACTCTATAAATGAGACGGAAAACCATGAGAATCTGGAATTTCAAGCTTACAGAAGCAAAGAAACCAAAATGTTTTGAATATAGGGTCACAAAGCAAATTGAAACGCCCTTGATTACCTACTGTTAGAAATAAGACAAGCATACACAATGATATCTTTGACAAGCAGATACCTCCCTATACGCGTAGTCCTAGTAAAAGAAGTTGAAGATGAAAACTAACCTTATCAATTTCTTGCATGAAGTGAAGTAAAAAATCCACTAGTTTATGCTTGTACATTGTTTCCGTATGGGATGCAGTAATTAAGAATGATATATCATAGCCTGAAATGAGAAACGACTGGAAAAAGGACTAAAAAGAGTTTATAGACGGTAAGCCACTTACCTGGAAGAGGTTT